TTTTCTTGCTAAGTTGCTGGGGTTGGCCTTAACTTGTGATCTTCCTACCTCAGATCCCCAAGCAGCTGGGATTACAGGTGTGCATCACCACATCTGGCCCCAGCCCTTTTTTCTCTCTTTTTTAAATTTGTTCTTTTCAGTTATACATAACAGTAGAATATATTTTGACAATATTATACATACTTGAAGTATAATTTCCCAATCTTGTGGTTATACATGTGGAGTTACACTGGTCATGTATCCATACTTCAGCATGAAAAAGTCATGTCCCATTCATTCTACTATCTTCCTATTCTCACCTCCCTCACCTCCCGACCTTCCCTTTTGTCTAATCCAATGAACTTCTATCCCCTTCCCTTACTATGTCTTACATCCACATACCAGAGAGAATATTCGGCCTTTGGTTTTCGGGGGTTGGCTTATTTCACTTAGCATGATAATTTCCTGTTCCATCTCTTTACTGGCAAATGCTATAAATTCATTATTCTTTATGGCTGAGTAATACTCCATTGTGTACATATACCACCAGCCCTTTTTCTATTTTGAGACAAGGTGTCTAAGTTGCAGAGATTTGGCCTCAAATTTGTGATCTTCCTGTCTCAGCCTTCCAAATACTTGGGAATACAGGTGTGGTCACCATGCCCAACACAGTGAGCATCTTTTCATATAGTAATTGGCCAGTCATAGATCTTCTTTGGGAAAATGTCTGTTCTGAGCCTTTGCCCATTTTTTAACAGTGCCTTTTGTCTTCGTGTGACTGACACATGAGAGTTCTGTGCTTTCTGGATGCAGGTATCACATTAGGCAGATGCCCTTCTGATGTTCCTCATGCCACTACTGTCCTTGGGCATGGTGCCCAGGTACTCCTGCACGCCACAGATTTCTGAGCATCTCTGGGGCTGCAGGCGCACCAAGGCTCATCCCTTCACATCCCAGAGTGTTGCAGAGGAAAGCAGGGCAGGCTACAAATGAGAGGTTGCCTCACCTATCAAATGGACACCATTCTCCCACTTCTCCTGGACTAGGCAACTATGTTTAAGAGTCAGTTCTTGTCCACATTTCAGCAAATTTACATTCCACATCTAATCAGGAAGGTAAAGTTGCCCTTATATTCACATTATGAATTCCCAAGTGTGGCTTCACATGAAAGCTGAAGCTCAGAGACTTGAGGCCAGCAGCATTTGCAGGACACAGTCCTTCCTATGCCTCCACACAGCAGCCAAAGATCTTTCTAGAAAACACTGGCCATGCTGCTTCCCTCCAGGACCCTTTAATGCCACCCCCACCTGCTCCCCCCCAAAGGCCCTGCCTCCTGCTCCTCTATCACCCTAAACCTCAGGTACTCAGCAGGCCTGTTCCCTTGTGTGGGACACTCTCCAGAGAGACTGATACACAAGTTTGAGTCTTAGCTTCAATGTCACCTGCAACTGGGGTCTTTCTGAGCTCCCTCCCCATCATCTGTGTCTTTGTCCTTGTAGAATCAATGCACTTGTCAGTTTAAGGTGGACTACCCTGTGACAGCTAAGTCTCACAGGAACAGGCCGGCACCTAACAGTGGTCTCATCTATCCTGGCACAGGGCCAGGCATGCAGTAGCCAGGCCCTCCATCTAGTGAGGGCTCACAGAAGCTCACAACTCACAAAGAACTGCCTCAGGCCTCTGTGGCAACTGCCAGTTCTCTCTCATCCCAGAGAAACAGGGATGAGAAACAGGAGCTTGAGGACCCTCTGCTGCTCTCAAGCAGTAGTATACATGCAGGTGCAGTCTAACATCAATTCACACCAGGTCCAAACCTATCCCAGGGGTCTGCTCACAGATGCCCACCTTCCCTCAGATCCCTATCCTGGCCACAGACACCAGGAGCTGAGCTTCCCCAACCCCTACTCTCCTGTCATTTAGAAGCACAAGAAGGTAGGGGCCACATTTTAGGTGCTCCCAGCAAACAGAAGACCTTCAGTATCCAATATTCTAAATGAGTGAACCAAGACCCTACTGAGTCCCTGGTATTACCCTTTCGGTCCTGACACATTCAGAGGAAAACACCAGATGCAGGTGAGCCACTGGCCAAAATTGGCAGCACCCGTCACTCAAAAAGTAGCCTCCCCAAGGGGCTGGGGACATAGCTCAGTTGGTGGAGTGCTTGCCTCCCAGACACAAAGCCCTGGGTTCAATCGCCAGCACCACAAAAAAAAAAAAAAAAAAAAAAAAAAAGAAAGAAAAGTAGCCTCCCCAAAGCAACCACACCCAAAGACACCCAATAGCTCACACCTAGAGCAGCGCTTTCTTTGAAGGTAAAATGGTTCACCTTATAGCCACTGGCCACAGGAGGCTCTGAAGTATTGGAGATAAGGCCCTCCACACCACAGAGCTCTAGACCCAACTATGAGCTTGCAGGAGACACAGGACAGACACACCCAACAGCACCACAGAGTGATAGCTCAGAGATAGTAAGGAACCCAGAGCCATAGGAGTTGTTTTCTTCTATAAATTGCAGGAGGGAAAAAGAGGTGGAGGAGGACCTAAGCATCAACAGAGATTTAAAAGATTAATTTACCACAGTAATGGACTAATTCAAACTATCCAAAAAACTGAAACAAGTGAAAACTTGAACACACTGGACATTTACTGGGATTGAGGATCATTTGGTGTTTCAGGCATTTGGGGTATTGAGATGCACTCCCAAACACCTTCAGATAAAAGACCATGACACTGGAAACTGGCTCAAACAAGGGGGTGGGGGAGAGAAGGGCGAGGGACCCATCACCCTGTTCTGCCTACTTTCCTTTATAACAAAGCTTTCAATTCTCCACTGCAGAACTTCAAAAATAGCACAGCAGCAACATTTTGCCAGTAACGTCATCGTTTTTTGAGCTGCCACCTCCCAGCAGTGTTATTTTAACCCCAGAAAGGCTGGAAGGCTATGGTTTTGAAGCCAAGGCCATCATCCCACATGGATACAGCTGCCCTGCTTCACCTTAGGCTGGCCACAAGCCACAAATGGAGGCACCTGACCCCCCCTCCCCAAAAGGCTGCTGGTGACCAAGAAAAGTGGGCACCAGGAGACTACAGTCTGTCCTTGACTTCTCCCAGCTGGGCTCTCTCCTTTAGAGAAGGTCCACATATCTCCCTGGAGTCTGCAGGGTCCCACTGAGCATAGACAGTGGCCTGGGGCTCCAGCACGGGACCTCAACACCTTCCCTAAGGTCCCAGTTTCCCATGCATTCCCCCTCATGAAGCACTCTGGAAATCTCCCAGAGGAAACTTGAGGGTGCAAAGAAGGTGGACTCATCTCAATTCCCCACCCACATGAGGTTACCCTGATGTCCCATCACACACTAAGAGGGGTAGCACCCTGGGAATCTTGCCAGCTCAGGCCCAGCCAGGCCAACTTCCAGAAAACTCCCCCTCCCCAAACCCAGGAAGAGAGCCTAAGGCGAGCACCAGGGCAACAGCAAGCTCCACTGCTGTGCGAGAGTATGTGGTGCTGTAGGTTAGTCCTTTAGTTCCTGGACAGCTCCTGGGAGGCCAGCACAGACACACCAGGGCTGGAGAAGCAGGAATAGCCAGCAGGCGCTGGGCCTAACCCTCCAGAGCAGCCACCAGAGACAGAAGTACCCTCACTATGCCACCACCCATCCAGAAACAAAGGGTGGAGTGGATCTGACGCAATTCTGTGGGCACTGTCAGCAGGCAAAAGGGGCCCATCTGCAACAGAGTCAGCTGCGCCACAAATGCTCCAGTGGTCAAGGAGCACAATGTCAGGCCCAGCATGGCCCCCAACCACAGGTCCCAGTTATCCCTAAAGAACTCGCTTTTCCCCAACCCTTAAGACCACCAAACAAAACCCCAAGGACACATGGCCCCCTATTAATGGTGACCCCCCAGGCTGAAGTGATCCCTAAGTATTACAAAAACAAATGCCATGGCTCAGCCCAAGTTTAACAGGCTTAGGAATGTTACAAGCTCCTTGGAGGATTCTAGGGCTGAGGTGCCTGGAAGTGCCCAGGAAATCCAAGGGGTTGGGATCAGCAGGCCCTGAGACTCTCCCCAGCCCTGAGAAGAAATATTTGCAATCTTAGCCCTCTGCACTCTTCCCAATCCTATCCTGGGTCCTGGGTACCTCCCAGGTTCAAACCCTGCTCTGCCATGTCAGGGGTGTGATACCTTGGACAAGTGTGGTCACATCTCCAAGCCTGTTTTCCCATCTCTAAAACAGGGATCTTGACTGTACCTAACCCCAGACGGTAAGGGATAAGTGCAACATCCACAAGACCTTGGCATAGTCCCTGGCTCAAGACAACCTTTCTGTAAAGCTGCCTATCATCTGCTTGTTATCATTTCTTCCAGATGCAAACCTGACAAGGTCCCTTCTGGGGCAATTCCCCCACTCGAAACCCTGAATGAAGCACCCGAGACACTTCTAGACCTCAGTTCACTCAGGGTTGAGTCCTTATCCCCTCACATTTCTCCTATGGTTGCCACAAGTGGCCATGTCTAGCCTCCAGGCCCTGGCTCATACCATTCCCTCTCCTCTTCCTCTGGACCCACATCCTCGCCCTTTCTTAAGAGTTGGGCCAGTTCTTAAGCATATCAAATCCCGGTCCAGAAGTTGGCCCTGCATGCTCCACAACATCTCCGCTTCCCAGAGAATCTCCCAGCCCCAGCTGCATCCCAGTTAGCCTCTAATTAGCGCGTTTCTTTACCACGACCTCCCACCGTGAATTGCAAGCTGCCATAGGCCGTCAGCTTGCATTTGAGGAGCTCCAGGGCGAGGGACGTGTGTTTTCACAGAAGCCGAGATTCTGGACTCCTCGGGGCCACACCGGCCGTGGCCCCAGGTTTTCCTTACCTAACCTCGCCCTGGCAGCGACCAGACCCGCTGGTCTAGCCACGGAGCCCGCGCCGCGCCCATGCCCTGCGAACAGCGGGCTCCGGCAGCAACGCGATGCTCCGGCCAGGCCGCCCAGCGCCATGGCAACCGCCCGCCCGCGGCTACTCACAGCGCGGTGGCGTCCACGGGGATGCGCAGCGCGGGCCCGAGCGTCCGCAGCCCGCGGCCCGAGCAGTTGACGCGGCAGGCGGTGTCCGGAGCAGGGCCGCAAAAGCAGGGGGGTGCGCACGGCCCGCAGCCGCGCCCGGGGGCCCCCGCCAGCGCCCCGAGCCACAGGCCCAGGCCCAGGGCCAGCGCCAGGCGGGCGGGCGCGCCGGGAAGCATCGTCAGCGCAGCGCGCGCATGGCCCCGGCGGCCCAAGGCCCGCCTGCGCGCCGGCGGCCACAGCTCAGGCGGGGCCGGTGGACGACATGGCGGGGCGCGGGGCGGGATCCGGTGGCGGCCGCGGCCTGTCCACTGCGCGACGCCCGCTCAGCGATGTGAGCCAGGCCGCGGTGCGGATGCTCTGCCGCGCGCTCGCGCTGCACTGCGGGCCTTGCGCAGGCTCCTCCTCTCCTGGCGCGGCGTGGGACGGGGCTAGAGAATGCCCCGCCCCTGTCTGCGGCGTCGGCTCGGAGAGGGGCGGGCTGCGGGGTCCCGCTCCTGCGGCGGCGGGGGGCGCGGCGGCGGGAGGTTCCACCCCTGGCGCCGCAATGCGGGCCGCAGCCCCGGCTGGACTGGGCGTTCTCAAGCTCCGCCCGCTGACGCAACGTGTCTGGGCGGTGCGCGAGGGGCGAGCTCTGTGATTTCGCCGCTCGCCGAGGCTGAGGCTCCGCCCCTCCCCGCCCCTCCCAGCACGCGGGTCTGCGACACCCGCGGCCTCTGCGGGCGCCAGCGCGCACCCCGGCTCCCAGCTGTCCCCAGTCGGCAACCACATCACTGAAAACAGCAAACACAAGCTGCACGGCCTGCGGTTTCTGCTACTGTAAGCCTCGGCTCCTCTTGATGTCCCCGGAGCCCGAGAACTCGTACTGCGTCATCTCGTGGAGCTCCGCCGGAGCTGTCAAGGAGGAGGAGGCAGAAGCACCGAGTGACACCAAGGTGGGACTCACCTGGCGCGGGTGAAGCTCAGCCCCGCAGGTCTGGCGTCCCCAGCGCAACAGCCCACGCCTCCGTGACGGAAGCTGCGGCGCGCCCTGCAGCGCACACCGGGGCCTGCGTTTAGGGCTTCTTTCTCCTTGCTTGTCTTCCCACCGCTGCGAAGTGGTCTCTGCACAGGCTTTTGGTCTCCGTGTGTGCAGGAGTTAATTACAAAACTAATACACTCGGGCTAGGATTGTGGCTCAGCGGTAGAGCGCCCGCCTAGCATGGGCGGGACCCGGGTTCGATCCTCAGCACCACATAAAATAAATAAATAAATAAAGGCATTGTGTTGTGTCCATGTACACCAAAAAGTAAATATTAAAAAAAAAAACCCTAATACACTCGGTACAGAGAAGACTCCGCGAGCTGAACAGCTTGCACAAGCCTTGCAAAACCCACCAGGTGCCAGACACAGAGAACCCCTGGTTGAATGATTCCATTCATAGGGCATATCTAAAATAGGTAAATCGTAAAGACCATTAATAGCCCTGGGGACTTGGTGAGGGTTCCTTTTAGGACTGAGGCATGTTCTGGATAATGCTTGCACAGACTTGTAAAATACAATAAAAGCCACTACATTGTGTACTTTAAAGTGTGACTTTTGCCAGGGGCAGTAGCACACGCCTGAAATCCCAGCAATACTGGTGGCTGACGCAGAAGGATCACAAGTTTGAGGCCAGCCTCAGCAACTTAATGAAGACCTGTCTCAAAATAAAACTTTAAAAGGGGCAGAGCACCCCTTGGTTCAATCCCCAGGAACATACACACATATGTTATGTGAATTAATCAATTTTTTTAAATAATAAAAATGTTCCACCACTGGGCCATGCTTCTGGGCCTATGTGAATGCCAATTGAAGCTGATCTATGGAAAGGCTAAGTACACACATAAGTGGGTCCCCAGACTCCCCTACCTGATGTCCTGTTACTAAGACTTCGTGCTAGGCTTCTCACTGTACCTTAAAGATTCCCTGTACCCTTCTCGGTGCCTTAACTGCCTAGATGCCTTTGCTAAGTCCACAGGTGATAGACCGGCCTCCTGTTGCTACAAGCTGGGAGAGCTCCTCTGAAGTGAGTCACTGGGGCACACTGCAGCTCCACAGTTCCCTTGGGCATGGGATGGCACCATGCCTCTTTTTTCTTATCTCTATAATGGAACTGTCAGTCCTATGTCTAACTTTCCTGCCAGACAGGGACAGGGACTTTAAAATTAGCCCCAAGGAGAAATTTCTAACAGAGAAGAATGGAGAATCCACAAATTTTTTAACACAGAAGCTCTTGAGAATGGAATTTGGAAACCCTGTAATGACTGCCTAAGCCAAGGTGAGGGTGGTGGGGAGGGGCAAGAAGCAGGAGACTCAGACAAAAGGAGCCCCAGGACTGGACGTGGGTGTATGGGAGAAGGGAAGGCTGAGATGTTGCCACCACTCATGGTTGGGCACTATGAGGGATGCAAGTGCCTCCTGCTGGGTGGGGATTCCTGAGGGGGGAGGAGAAACATGAAGGGAAAGATGAGGCCACTTGAGAAGGTTCCAGAGTGCAGCAGGAGACACCATATGGAGCTGGGGATGAGGGTGAGCACACTTGGGGCAAGTGGGAGACCTGGAAGCAGGAAGTCCCAGAGGTAGGGAGGAAAGGGGCCTTGGGGGGAATCTAAGCAAGAGGAGGAGAGAAGTAGGAGGAAACTGAAGCTGGTGTGTGTGTGTGTTATTCAAGGAAAAGCTACAAGAAGTCAGCAGGAGCCTGGACTTCAGGAAAAAAGTAGGGGCTGGGTATGATGTATCTGTGAGCCCTTGTCTGGTTCTGGTTCTGCCACATTCCACAGGTCCAGATATGACCCCTTCTTTGGGTATTCCAAAACTCTCTACAACCTCCCACCTCCTGGCCCTCCTCATGTTGCTCCCTTTGCCTGGGATCTATCCCACCCACCCCTAGGCACTAGCTCCACTCAGCTTCCTCCCCCAGTAAGCCCCCAGGCCCCTTCTCATGTGCTCCTTCAGGTCCACAGCCCTTCAGAAGACATGCATTACCAGAGGTCTCCTGCAGGCAGAGCATTAGTCCCAAGTCTATCAGTGCCCCCCGGTGGACAGGGCTCCCCAGGATTGTCCTGTCCCTGGCCCCTGTCACCTGCATATTGTTAGTGGCGTGGTATTCACCAATGACCTTTACTGAAGGCACATTGAGTGGACGGTTAGTAGGAAGCCAGATGCCGATAGATTGGTGACAAGTGAGGAGTCAACCCACTGTTTCTAGAAGCTGAGCTATGAAAGAAGAGAGGCAAGGGACAGGAAAGGACACCATAGTGGCAGGGTTTTTGTTTTTTGTTTTTGCTTTCTTTAATATGAGAAGGACTCAGGAAGGCTTGTAGGCTAAGAGAAGTGTGCCAGCACAGAGGGAGAGGTGGACAATGGAGACAGGAGTGGGGTTTGGTGTTGAGAGCTTCCTGAGTGACAGGCAGAAAAAAACCCACATCCTTCACTTCCCCACCCATTCATTCATTGCCTAATTCTACTGAATTCCAAGAGCTCTAGGAAGTGGAGCTATTGTTATCCCTGTATTAAATGAGGTAACAACACACAGAGAAATTGAGAAATTTGCCAGGTTGCACAGCAGGTCAGTGGCAGGGCTGGGATTATCTTCTAAACCCAAGGTATTACTTGCAGTCAAATGACAAAGGATTCAAGGACTCAAGATGAGAGAAGAGACACCTACACACAATTAAAAAAAAAAAGTGGTGCAAAATGAGCAAAACAAATGAAGCTAAACAATTGTTTGAAAGTGGCTGTGGAGCCGAATGCAATTGTTTGGAAAGGATTTCTGAAACAGCAAAGTGATATGTTTAAAGGAGATTATGGATGGACTGGGGGTGTAGCTCAGTGGTAGAGCGCTTAAACAAGGCGCTGAATTCCATCCCCAGCAGCAAAAAGAAAGAGAAGAAGAAAATTGGTTACCCATGAATGCAATTCCAGACTATTTCAACAAGCCCTGTGGTAAGACAAAGGAAATAAAACATGCCAAAGATCTTGTTTGGTTCAGGGAAGGAGGCATTGGAGAAATGTTTAATTCTTGATAAAATATAGTCTTAAAGGTTTTTAATTAACAGTTAATGATAACTATTAGCATCAAAGAAAAGGGAAAACTAGAAGGGGAAACAGAAATAAGAAAACTTGATCAGTTCAGTAAAGGATTTTAAAAATAAATGATAATCAGGTACACTTCTATTACCCAATGACTTGGGGAGCTGAGGCAGGAGGATTGCAAGTGTGAGGCCAGTCTTGGCAACTTGGTGAGACCCTGTCTCAAAATAAAATATATTTTTATAAAAGGGCTAGGAATGTAGCTCAATTGCAGACAGCCTCTGAGATCAATCCCTAGTACACTCCCCACCACAAGAAGAAAGGAAGGAAGGAAGGGAGAGAGGGAGGGAGGAATGTATTCATTAAAAAAATAATAATAAGATGACCCTGTGGCTCAGGCCTATAATCTGTAATCCAAGTGATCTGGGAGGCTGAGACAGGAGGATCACAAGTTCAAAGCCAGCCTTAGCAACTTAGAGAGGCCCTAAGCAATTTAGGGAGACCCTATCTCAAAATAAAAAAATAAAATAAAATAAAAAGGGTTAGGGATGTAGTTCAGCGGTTAAGCGTCTCTGGGTTCATCCCCAGTACCAAACAAACATACAAAAGCCTACAAAATAAGACAGTCCAAATGAAACCAAGTATGTGGGTTATCATTACAACTGTAAATGAGGGCTGAGGATATAGCGCAGTTGATAGAGTGCTTGCCTTACATGTACAAGGCCCTGGGTTCAATCCCCAGCACCACACACACACACACAAAAAATGTGAGTGAGTTAAATTCTCATACAAAAGGACAAGAAAGCTAATGTTGACAGGAAACACTAAATCCAGGTAAACTCTGTTTACAGGGCTACAGCTAGAACAATCCTGAAAATAAAAAGACAACGAAATGCAGATACCAAAAAAGGTAAGGGTGGCAGTATTTTTTTTTAAAGAGAATTTTTAATATTTATTTTTTTAGTTTTCGGCGGACACAACATCTTTGTTTTGTATGTGGTGCTGAGGATCGAACCCGGGCCGCACGCATGCCAGGCCAGCGCGCCACCACTTGAGCCACATCCCCAGCCCAAGGGTGGCAAATGGAAAATAAGTTTTTAATTAAAAAATCCAATAACATCTACACAGAATATATAATGAA